AATTTTGATAAAAAATATTATAATTTTTGACAGCCCTTCCGAGCTTAGTCGGTTACGACTCATCATTTTTAATGATCTTAGCCGGAGATCGATCTAATTTTAACTCATCAAACTCATCATCCTGCTTAGTACCACTCGCTACTCCTCTCACTGTGGCCAAGACACCCTTAGCCGTCAGCAGATCGGTCTTGTGAGTCTGCTTGACCGGCAGTGAGAATACCATTCCAGTACACATTGCACGACGTGTATTTCCTTACCTCCTTCCAACCTTCCGTTTGTCACCTAAGGTCTTATGGAGTCAGACTTCCTGTTCATATCTTGCATATATATTTCTCCGTCTATATATTTATGGTTAGGTTAGGCTACACACCGTTAGGTTGTAGGGCTACACTATATATAAATTCATAGGAACGACTCTTGAGGTCTCACCATTAGGTTTAATAGGGTAGTTTATATTTTATCTTAACTTTACCATAATTTCATGCACAGCAGGAGGTTGGTATTTGCTGTATACAACACCTCACACTACATTGACAGACAAGCACTACCACCACATTAATACCTAACCGCACGCTGTTCAGCAGTAGTACCTAGAGCTCTTTGTGAAAGAATTCGAAAGAATTTGTTCAGGAAATCACTGTCACTATCGCGTGTCGTTTATGAAGAGTAAGTGCTGATGAAATTATTACAGGCACACGGGCATCGAGTATATAATCAGAAATAGAGACGAAATGTCATTTAATTGGTTTGAAAACTATTTTGTCATATCATTACGGTGCCAACTGCGCTCCGATTGGCCATCCTGAATTCGAAACAATTGACGGCTGTCGTCAATTGTTTCACTTCAAATCGACCTGTTTAAGTTGAGCTTTGCTATAATGGACCAGAACTGATAAATTACATATTTAATATTCACACAAATAAGATCTGATAGAGTTGCTGTAACTGGCTCTATTCCACAGGGTAGCGTTTTGGGACGCATTCTGTTCCTTATCTACATAAATAATGTTCCAAATATTCTAGACGACACTTGTGTTCTTTTTGCTGATGACATCTCCGTCTAATATCATGCTTTAATAGTACAGATTTAGAAACAAAATTAAATTTAAATCTGGATAAAATCGTAAACTGGCTAAATTTGCATAATTTGGAACTTAACCTAAATAAAACAAAAATTATCCAATTTAGACCACATCACAAAACTGCACTGCAAATATCATATAAGTACAATAATGTTGAGCTAGAAACAGTCAACTCGGCTTCACTACTGTGAATTAATTTGGATACAACACATACAAAAAGTAGTTAACAAATTAAACTCATTTATTTATGGACTTCTGCATCTCAAACGTGTAACGGACTCTAAGAGTGCCCTTACTTCTTACTATGCATTTGCATACTCGGTATTGTCGTATGGTATCATTTTATGGGGGAATTCTTGTGGGATAAATGAGGTATTCATACTACAAAAGAAGTGTGTAAGAATAATAACCAACATTAAACAAATGGAATCTTGTCGCCCCTATTTTGTTAAAAATCAAATTCAATCACATTCTGGAATCGTGTAAATTCATTAGAAAGCATTCCCAATTCTATTCACCTCTAGAGAATAGTAAAACAAATGACCGTAACATGAACAAACTTAAAATCCCCTTCTCCAAAATGAAAATAGTTGCGTCTGGCCCATACACTATGTTAATAAAAATTTATAATAATATCCCTAACAGTATTAAAAATCTCCAAACATTTACAGAGTTTTGTAAAGTATTAAAAATATTCCTTATTCGTAAATGCTATTATAATTTAAAAGAATTTTTTGACGATTTGCTACAATGACTTTACATTTAAAATAATTAATTAAAGATTTTAATTACCTATAATGTTTAATTGACATATGTTATTTAATACAATTAGAAAGATATTTATCTTTTGACGATTTGATAAAATGATTATTTAGTTCTAATATTTGATTGATAAATCATAACGTATAAATTATATTGTATATATATAAATTAAATTGCTGTATTAATAATGTCAATGTGAGACTGTCTTCCACAGTTGCTGTGCCCTTGCAGGGCGTCACATATTAACTGCCCTATATTGTAAGTACTATCTGTAAGCTCCATGTGTGATATGCAATGAATAAATAAATAAATATTTAATTACCGATGAAATGTGAGTCCGTTTGTTTTGTAATTAGATGTTTTGCTGTTTTTCCCATACCACCGAATGGAATAGCCCCCATTGTTAGAGATATAATCTTTATTACAATAAATACAAAATATTTTTGGAATATACGGAGACGTACACAGGTCAAGTTGGCGCTTTGGTTGGTGCCCCTGAGCTTTGAGTGGCACTGCAACTGTCATGGACAGGCATTTAGCTTACCACTAGACGCACGACTTGTTTATCCCTTCGCTTGATATCATAAAAAAAATATGTTGGTTATACAAGGAAAGTTTGATTTTATTCTGTATATATATTTTGAATTATCAAAATGATAGTTACATTTTGGGATTTACGTATTTTTATAGTATATTACGATACCACTCGTTAATTTAGCGATACTTGAAACAAGAAAGAAATAAAAATGTTTAATCCATAAATAAGTTGCAGCATAGAACACACACGATTTACGTCATTTGTAAAACAACACATTTGGATAAGACTTACTAAAAATGATTGTATAAGTTAACTAAAATAAATTAGAATGTAACAAAAATGGTATAATAAAGTGCGCGCTGTGCTTTACTGTGTTTTGATATTTCAATGTTATTGTGTATGCGGAAAAAACAATGGCTACGGTAATTAGGCTGAGGACACCGAATGTGAGAATATACGATACATTGAAGGATATTGTCATTGACTTACAAATAAATGAACGACGGGTCTAATACAAAAACCACGAAAAAAATGTCCCAAGTCAACCTATTTAAACGTAGTGACATGTAAAGGAATGTGAAAAAGCTAAAACGTTGAATTTAAATTGTAATGTCATCGCAGTACTGTCTAATTTTGCTTGCTTCGCTGTCAGTCGAACAAACTAAGACTAGAGCGTGAATGACGCTCTGTATACGATTTTAACGCCCTATAAGTTCGGACACTTTTTAGCGCGGACCCGACGTCCATATAATTGTAAGTCAATGTAAATTGTCTAAAGAATGTGCCAATTTGTTACACGACTTTACCTGATTATATAAAATCCTGAAAACAGGCTAAATAAAAGTCTAAAACGAGTTCGTGCAGGGTACTACTGCCATCTTACTTAATTCTGCCGCCAAGTTATAATGTCAGCATTACTGTCTTCCGGTTTGGAAGGGTAAGGGTGCTGGTGTTTACAGGCACATGGGACTTGTGAAATTATGTCTCAGGGTGACGGGTGCAGTGGCAGAGAGCCTCAGATCTTGGCAATTTAAAGCTCTGAGTTTGACTTGTTCGTCCGGTCAATTGATGTTATAAAAAATAAAGAATTATTTAAGAATAAAATATGGTATTTAATACATTTAAGCAGCAGGAAATTTAACGGCCATCTTTATTATTATTATTATAATTAATCCTGTTTCTCAGAGACTTAAAATAAATTAAATCAATGGATATTTTAATTTGTATGAGCTACGCAAAAAACGTTTCATTTGTATAAATTCACTTTGATAGTTTTATGTTGGGCCTCAAAACTAAGGCAAAAGAAGATATGTACTTATTTTTAAAACTAAGTAAATGTAGTCATATTATGACGGGTACCCTAAAATCCGAGATGTCGAAAAATGGTGCAATAGTTAACATGAAACATAAAAACTTTGGAATGCTGCAAAAATCACGTCTGTGAAATTACTTAGAATTACACAGGCAGTGAAATCGCACCACGACTCATTAAAATTATAATTTATAACATTTTTTAAGACTTGTTGGCGAAAAACCGAGAACTGCGTTACAAAGCAACCAGCGCAATATTCCATCGTTCGATCCCTTAGTATATAAGAACTGGAGCTGCGACTCCAGACCATTCGATGCTAACATCCAGTTACGGAGCATTCGGTTGCTAATATCCGGTAACTGGGCATCCGATTGCTCGTCAGCAAGTTCAACCAGTTGAACCGTTACCATATAAGTCCTTTGTGTTTAATTGCTCGACACTTTCCAGTCTGTTCGGTCGTTGTCATATATAAGTTATATATACAAATACAGTATTCATCCTAATTTGATATTTAAATTCAGTGAACCCTTCACCACAACGTTAAACTATCTCTACGAACTTTCCCCCATCATCTCTGTGAGAAGAGGAGAACTATCAAACGTGAAGTAAAATATAACTGAACGTATGCAAATTATAACTATGTTGATTATATTTGTATACTAATATATTGACCTGAAAGCATGTTCTGAAACGCAAGCTAATGGGCTTCCGGTAATCGCCGGCCGCTGTCGCGACACGCTCGCTTCGCTCGCTCGGCTCGTGCTGCTTTTTCATGTGCTTTAGCACAACGTCCTTTTCAAGAATAGACTGCCTACAGTGCGAAGTTTCTAAGGGGAGGTTGCTAAAACTGATGACTAATCGAAGTCGATGACATTATTATTTAACTATTACATAACAAACAGGTTCTAAACAAAAACCAGACTTTGGCTGTAAAATGGTTAAAATAAAATACCGACGCGTTGCTAGAACGCTCGAGTGTTTTAAAAGCGTATATTTCAAGAATCAAAACTCCCATTACAAAACAGTCATGACGTAATTATTTATGAGTTGTTCTAAGTTTGCATATAAAAAGCTTCATTAATTCGTTACTTATTAGTTCGTTCTGGGCAAGGACAGTGGTTGCTACGTCCGTACTGTGACTTAGAAACTTTCGATGGGTATAAAAAAGGCTGTCCAATTCAAAGAAAAAAAAAGCAGTTTATTTACATAAAAAATATTACGGCGGTGAAAGTCAGAAGAACAAGGTTTAAAACTTGCTGACAAATACCCAAGAGAAGAAACAAACATAATAATAAGAAATATAACCATGAATTTGAATCTTTTAAGCACAGTTTTGTCAATATTAACAATTATTACAACAATAGTTTATTTGTACTGTAAACATAAACTAGACTATTGGAGGAGACGTGGCATACCACAGTTAAAAAAGCCGAATTTATTATTCGGCCACTTCAAAGACGCTGTGCTATTTAAAAGTCCACCTGGGTTTTATCTCGGAGAGCTGTACAAAAAAACCGAATTACCATTTGTCGGTTTTTACATATTTCACAAGCCCACACTATTATTACGTGACCCGGAAATTATTAAACAAATTTTGATAAAAGATTTTAACAATTTTTCTGATAGAAATTTCGCGGGGTCAGTTCAAAAAGACAGTATTGGAATGAAGAATTTGTTCGGGCTAAGAAACCCTCAGTGGAAGTACTTAAGGTCTAAAATCACACCGACTTTAACGCGTTTGAAACTAAAACAAATGTTTGCATTAATGATGAAAACTGGCGAGCCCATGTTGGAGTATATCAAAATGCAGGACACTCGAAACGGAGTCAAGGTAAATGATAACCAATAGTCGTTAAAAGGTTCACATATATAGATATAACTACAGGAAGCGACATAGAGTTGTTAAAATCACAGAACAATAAAGACAGTAGAAATAGTTAGTTAGCGTCAGACTCGTGCCAATTATAGGTCTCGAAAAACCTATTCGAGCTCAGTCCGCCATTTACGCTTTGTATGGTATGGCTGTGTCATTCTTTCGTGCAAATTCTCTAAAATCAAAATCCTAGATAAATGCCTTTTTAATACAGTTGCTCAAAACGTGGTATTTTTCGCACTACAAATTGTGCGGAAAGTTGGATTTCTCGCACTAGTGCTTTTTACTTTTCCAGTTTTTTTAATTTACTGTTGTTTTAAGTCTTAAACATAGAACTAAAGAGATTGTATATTTATTTCATATTTATGTGCTTTGTGACGTAAGTCATTCGTCATTACTATACTATATCTATGGAGAGACCGCATTTTTACACCTATGAAGTAAATGCTCCTTAGTAGCGATTATATAGAAAATAAAGTAATATAAAATAGTAATTTTAATGTGGCTGAATACTGGCAACAGTTGCCATATTGAAAAAAGTCGGCCAAAAAAGTACTAATTTTTTTCATCGTTTACATTCCCGCCTTTTTCATTAACTTTTTACGATTTGATTTTGTTATTGACAAAGGAATAAAATGAGGTTTTTTTTTAAATACTGTTTTATTTTACTTTCAATGTAAGTTTTTCGCAAATGTATTAAAAAACGTTGTTTGATACACATGCGGATTTGTCATTTTCACTTGTCTCGAGCCTTGACCCTCGCCTCTGGCTCGGGTCAAGATGCCTCGAGACTCGTGAATAATGACTAACTTTCCGCACTTGTATCAAAAATAACTATTGTGCTATTTTAGAGTGCAGAAATGATAACCGCACCAAAGATATTACCCGTCGTTGTAGTTCATATCATCGGAAAGTGTTATTTTAAGAAATTTTCGATTTTCTGTATATAGAATTTTTTTTTGTAACAAGAAACCAAAGTAAAGCATATACTCTTGCATAACGGTTGCTTCTCTTTTGGAGAACTAAATTAAACACCCCAATTCGTCGTCGTTCAGCAATAAACCGCTAGATGGCAGCACATCGATAGAAATTCCAATTTAATATCAAAACGTCGTAACTTGCAATAATAAGTATTGATGGTATTGAATTGAATATTAACAATACAGATTTTATTATTTCTTTTTAAATTTGAAACTACGACCAATCAATATCAAGATTTTATAGTTTCAAATGAAGAATGTAAGTTTTGGCGACATCAGTTCTGATACTAGTAGAGGCTTAAGACACTTCCATTGCTTTTTCTTCCGTGGTTTAAACCACCAAATATTAATTAATTACTGTTTCGAACTCCGGAAATGGTTTTACTGATCGTAGGACAAAACTACTGACCAAGAATGGTCACTCTCCGCCCCTCCCTAGCTTTAGATACCGCATATTGACGGTCACATTGACGGAACGGCAACATTTGCTAGTAGAGCTTAACGAGGGGCATTTTAGGACATACTGGTGAACGTTTGAACATAACGAAAAACGCCATTTTTGCCGGCCTTATCCATGTACGGCTATTTATCTGCATAAAAATAATAAAGAGAGGAGATTCTTTCATCCGGAAATCCGGAATTCGGAAAAAGTAATAAATTAATATATGGCGCTTACAACAACTTTATGTCTCTCCTTGTAGCTATATCTTTTCGTGTATCTATAGATATATACGTGGAACACCTTTTTCCGAACATTAGTGACGACTTATATTTTTTATAACAAAAACTAGGTATCTTGTTCCTTTTTCATAGGGTTCTATCTTACACGAATTCGTAAAGTCAATAGGACTTAATAATTTCGACTTCTTTGGTTGTAAATTATCAAAAAGATTATAATTTTCAGGTCCTGGACGCCCAAGAGCTAAACTACAAATATACGACAGACTTAATAGCTAGTGTCGCGCTTGGTACAGAAATTAATTCGTTCAACGAATCCACTACCGAATTCACCAAAGCCGGTAAGCGCACAACCCTATTATGTCGGGGCACAAAACGCAAACAACGATATCGTTCAAAGTTCAATACTTATATTCTCAAGGAGACGTTTCGTTTTGATATTAAAATTTCAATCAATGGGCTGTCATCTAGCGGTCAATAGATGAACGACGACGCAAGAGGTGTTAAATACAAAGAGCCGTTGTATCTAACTAAGCAAGGCCAGTGTGGCAAGCATAACTATGTGGAACGCGACATGCAAACTAAGCACTTCTACTGTATTTATTGTTTTGAGGTCACATCTGCCATCACCTTAAAATAACAATAAGTTTAAATTCTTGATTTCAGTCCACCAATTCTTCCACGGCTACAAACGCATGGTAGCGTTATTAACAGTGTTCTTCATGCCAGAACTAGTCAACTTATTCGGATCTCCAGTTCTTTTCGATTCAGACTTCGTGAAGAAAGTTTTCTGGGAAGCCATGGAGAAGAGGGAGAAGGGTGGGGAAAGTAGGGGAGATTATATTGATTCTTTGCTGCAACTGAAGAATGAGAAACAGAATCCCATTTACAGTAAGTGTCATGAGTGGCTGACTTTCTTTTTTTATGATACCTAAAGGCCCATTTAGATGGAGAGAGTTTCTCGTCTCGAAGATACGATTATCGAAAGAATATAAAAAACTTTCCTCGTCTAAACATTCACGATTATTCCACGTGAGCGATAATCGCCTCGCCTTTCAATATTGAACGTCTCCATGTAAACAGAACTTGAAAGCAAAAATCGTATTTCGAGTTTTTGTGCCAGCCGTTTCTACCATGAGTACAGTGTGCGAGGGTGTTTTGATTATCACTGCTTTTCTAAGACAAGAATTAAGGAAACGAAAAGGAAAAAAAGGGTTAAGAAATGTTAAAATTAAAAAAAATATATTTCTATACAGAGCAATGAACTTAATATTATCAGCAGTTCCAAATTTGACTTATTTTTCCGTCATTTTGATATATCCATGGTCAATACCGCAGTAATCACTGAACTCGAATGGCAATTCTACCGTACCGTACGCCTACTAAGAATATATATATAAAAATATATAAAAATACTAAAATTTTAAATGTTACCCAAACCTACATGTA